CTACCTGAGGAAACAACACACTCTTCTGTACCAATTTCCAAAAGCCCTTCAGTAATGGATGAGTGGTGACAGAGACAGAATTAGTGAATTTGGCAGTCTCCAGCCACAAGTTTTCATGCAGGTGGTTGACTTGCACCTGTGTTGAGACAGCAGTGGAATTTGGCAATTGCTATCATAACTGAGCAGTCTTGGCAGTTATGCTATCATAATGAGCAGTCTTATTCATGATCCCCTCTGCTCACTCCACATAGGGAAGGGTCTAGAAAAGTTACCCTAAACCTACGTCGTCTTATCTGTTCCTGGCTGGATAACCATATCCTGCAAGAACACTATTTCTATGGTCAAAAACATCATAAGACAATGATTTTTGCAACATGGAACACTTGCTCCATGATGGATAATTAAGACAACGAATGACCAGAAAGAAGAACTGCCACTGTCTCCAGGGAACTAACAAGATACAACATCAACATTGCAGCTCTGAGCAAGATAAGACAACCAGATGAGCATCAGCGGAGGGAAGAGGGTAGAAGCTGCACCTTCTTCTGGAAGGGGAAACCGGTCTAGGACAAATGTGTTTATGGTATCAACTTCACCATCAAGAATCAGTTCAATCAATTTACAGAGTTACCTGCAACATAAATGAACATTTTATGACCCTCCATCTTAAGCTCAGCAACAAACAGTATGTCACCATCATCAGTGTATATGCCCCAATGCTTGATGCTGGTGTAACAGGGGCTCAGCCAGGAGCCCTGTTACTGAGGCAGTGTCAGGTGAGAGTGACCTGACAATGCCCCCACCAGGTGAAGGGAATTACACACCAGGGCAAGAGAGGGTGATTAGCATGCCACGACAGACATAAAAGTGGTGATGGGGGATACACAGTTTGCCTTCAGGCACAAGAAGACAAAGTACGAAGAGAAGTCTCTCTCAAAGGACCAGGAAGACAGGGAGACAGTTCGTGAGTAGGAGGGCCCCCAAAATACAGTGCCCAGAATGACTTGACTGATTGAGTTAAGACAGGCTATGTACCGTTGAACCCCAGTGTCTCTGGTGAGTGGGGAAAACCAGGTCTCCAGGAGACAGACTGGCAAAGGGTACCCAAGTGAAGAGGGTCCCCCTTTGGAGATGTGCGTGCTGGAAGAGCTTCTCTAAGCCCAAGAGCTCCTAAAAACTCCACCGGTGATAAAAGCGGCAGCGAGAGACGGCGGAGAGGCCGGGACCGCTCTTAGAGAGAGAGTACAATTAAACAAGGGGAACTCGGCTGATTTATAAAGGTAGTTTACTGAAGGGCAATATCTGTTACAAAAGTTATTGTGAAGACTTGTGAGCACTGAGTTCTCTTCTGTAACTTGGAATCTCACCACTAATAAGGCAATTAGCGGGACCATTGTTGCCCTTTAATCTCTAACAAAGGAATAAAGCCATCTTATTCAAAGTTAACCACAGTGTGACGGGAGTGCTTCCTAACCCTGTAAGATCACTGATACCCTCTTTTTCTTTGTTCCCATAGAAGTCGTGGCAGGAGAGTCCAGAGGGAAACCCCATTAGGAACATTCGCCCACTCACAGGTGGCAATGATGTCAGAGAAAGTTCTACTCCAACATTGACCACATATTGACTAACGCTTGCAAGGAAGATCAGATATTCTCCTTGGTGGCTTAAACACTAGTCAGATGTGACCTGGAACTATGGAGCAGCACCATTTGGAAGGAAGGAGTTGGGAAAGCCAACTCCAGTGGCATCCTTCTCCTGAGCAAATGGACAGAGCAGAGTCTTCTCATCACAAACACCATCTTCAGACAGAGTTACAAACACAAGAGCCCCTGGAGATACCCTTACTCTAAGTGCTAGCACCTCAACTACATTATTGTTACAGCCTGTGATTGAGTGGCTGTCAGTATCATGTGAGGAAACCATAATGACTGCTGGATGGACCACTGTCTTGTCAGATCCATTATGAACACGCAGCTTGCTCTGAAACACAGAAAAAAGCAAACAGACAAAAGCAATGTGAAAGACTCTCAAATCTCTTCAAGACCCAAAGGCTGTAAGACTCTCCAACAGTGCCTCCACAGAAAGCTCTCTCCTCAGTACACAAATAAAGGCAACCATGAGGACTCTGAAAGGGGTTGAAAGCCACCATATAGCCAATGGATTCAGCACATGCCATACCCACATCAACACCAATGCGATAAAAGTGACACTGAGATCCAAAGTTTCCTTGACTGGAAAAGAAGGGCTCATTTTGCTTGGCAAGATGACACCTTATCTCAGCAGAAGAAGGATACATATAAGCTCCTCAAAGCTGAAGCTCAAAGGAGGATTCAGGAAATCAAAAAAATCAGTAGTTGCAAGACAAAGCTAAAGAGATCCATCTCTGTACTGACAAATATGAGAGACATAGCTCTCATCTGGCAACAAAGACCATCTATGTCCCAGTTTCCCACAGTTCTACTTTCCTGCAATCACAGATGGACCAACACTCCTCAAAGACAATACATCTATTCAAGCTAGATGGAAAGAGTCCTTTGTGGCACTTCTAAACCATGAGTCCACTGTGACAGATACTACCATAGCATCCATCCCCCAATACCTTGAAGAGGGATCCCTTGCCAACCCTCCTTATCCTAGAAGTCTGGCATGGCATCAAAGAAACCAAGAACAACAAGGCTACTGGACAGCATCCCTGCTGAAATCTACCAGGCTGGTGGTGAGGAACTGGTACTGAAACTCCACAAATTTATCCTATGCAGATCCCTGTGTATCTGAGGAACACCAATATCATGACTATCTTCAAGAAAGGAGATAAGTCTGTGTGTGTAAGCTATAAAGGTACTGTCCTTCTTTCCAAAGCAGGGAAAGCCCTGCTGGTGCCCCTCACTCCTGATCCACAGCCCTGCTGGTGCCCCAGGTCTTGCACGCAGAGCACATGACCCCTAACAGCCAATCACCTTGCCCGCTGCTCCCAGCCCGAAGCATCCAAGCAGCTTGTGCCTGGGAGGAGCAGAGGCAAAGCAAAATCCCAGACATTTGCTTGCATTTCAAAAACCCACCTGGACACAAGGACAAGGGGCCAAAAAAGAGGACATGTTCGGGAAAACCTGGACATATGGTAACCCTATACTTACACATGTTGAGGAAAACCTCCATGCCATGCTTGTTCTTTTTGGAAAAGCCTATCGAACTCTGGGCCTGTCTCTCAACATTGAGAAGACTAAAGTGAGCTATTAACTTGTCCCAGGCACTGAATGTGACCCTCCCACTTCCCAAATTATCACTGAGGGAAAGACCCTAGAGGTAGTCAAACACTTCCCCTACCTTGGTACCCACCTCTCTCAGATAGTGAACGTTAATGAGGAGATCCAGCACAGGATACGGTGTGCAAGTGTCATGTTTGGAAAATTGCTCCAGTGTGTCTTTATTCATTGCTGTCTCCAGAAAAACACCAAGATCCAAGTCTACAATGCAGCCATCATCCACACTCCCCTTTACAGATATGAAATGTGCTTGACCTACCATCATCATCTCAAGAGCCTGGAGAGGCATCACCAAAAATGCATCCAGAAAATCCTCCACATGAAATGGGAAGATCACCACACAAACACCAGCATCCTTGCTGAAGCCAATGTTACCAGCACTGAGTTGGTGATCCTCAAACACCAAATTCACTGTGTGTGGCTGCTCAACTACTGACTCCCAAAACAAGGGCTCTACTCTCAGGTCAGTAACAGCCTCATCAGAGTGGCCAAAAGAAATGCTACATGGACACATTGAAGGCATACCTCAAGAAAATGGATACTGACATCAAGACCTGGGAGAAGCTGGGTGCTGACTGACTCCAATGTCTCCACAACTTCAACCAAGTGGCTGCCCATTTCAAGATAAATGATCTCACCCTCAAAGCAGAGAAGAGAGAGCAGAGGAAGGAAAATGAGGGAAATCCTGACCTATGGTCTCCCCTCCTCTGAAGAAAGACCTGCACTTTCTGTGGATGGGTCTGTAGTTCAAAGACTAAAATCTTAAGTCACCTCAAGACCTATCAATGAGCTGTGGTAGAGATCATCCTTGAATAAGGGATTGCCACCAACATGAGTCTAAACCTGTTCCAGATATCTTTAAGACAATTTCAGGTGCTCCATTCCACCAGTCAATTTTTTTTCTTTGTTTATTCCTGAAACTATGTGGTATTCAGGAATCATGATGGAATCACACTGAATCTAGATACTTGGAAGAATGACTCTGTATTCAGTAACTAATTCCATTTGTCACTGTGTAACAGAACATGGATTATCTCTCAGCACTACTTTGTTGCAATAGTTGGAAGGTGAGTAGTGAAAGAGGTAGGGGATTGCAGGAAGCTCAAGAAGTGCCCCAGCATACGGACAATTGAATGCTGCTCTGGAGAACTGCATTTTATTCATGCCTCCGCTTGCATAATGTTAAATAAATCCCTTAAACCAAACTTTTTAAACATGGTCATTAAATGTGTTTTCTAGGTGACCAGCTTAAGATCCTGAAGTCTGGTTTTCAGAAATGCTGAGCACCCACAAATGCAACTGAAGCCAAGGGCAGCTTCTCTTTAATATAAGAAATGCTATCTAATGCATTTAATAACTCTGAAAAATATGGTCTTTTGCATCTCAAATTGGGCACCCAAAGGGGGTGGATACTTTTGATTTTACTCTCTCTGCCTTAGCTCCCCATATGTAAAGTGGGGATAATATCATCGATCCAGAGCAGTGAGGATTTGCAAACTGTGAAACTATTAAACATTTATTTAAACTCAGAGGCTGGATTGCTCAAAACCTAGAACATTTTAGCAGATTCACAGCGTTCTAAGGAACTTTTCAGACAAATCAAAGAAAATTTGTAGTAAATTTTACTGTGAAAATATTAAATGATCTTTTACAATTGCCTCTTTTAATCTAAAGCTGCCAATGCAAAAATATTATATTTTTGCAGCTTATCCAAAAATAGCAAGTTAAAAAACTTACCTTGGCAAATGATAAGAATCAGAAGGCAACAGAGATTTGCTTGCAGACTTCTTGGTTAATATAGTTTGTATGCCCTGCTGTGATGGAGGGCCTCCTCAGGCTGATCTCCACGGCCTGCCCTCTGTCTCTGGGCAACCACCCGCTTATCTTGCCCACCACACCTTTGATGATAATCAGTTCAATTATGTTGTTAACTAAGCGGGAGGCTGCCCTTCGTACTGCCCCGATGCCAAGGGGCGCTCTGCGGCTCCGACCTCCCCTAATACCGCAGCCCAAGCCTCGCAGATGGCATCATGGTGTTCTTCCTCACCGGCCCCACACTGGGCCCCAGAATCTTCCATGCACGACCCCACTATGACCTTCACTACACAGGCGGCCACTCCGCTGTCAACTGGGCTACCTCACCCCCCCGAAGCTATCTTCCCCTCTCGGGTGTGGTTCCCCCGGAACCTTCGGCCTCTTGCCCTGGCCCACCTCAAGGCCAGTCAGGACCCCAGGACCCCGGCTCTTGGGCGTCCCTCGCGGTGGGCCCCCGGCCCTTTTGACCCTCACTGGTCCTGGCCCCAGCATGTGCCAGTCAAGGGCACTATCCCCTTTGGGCTGGGTCTCTCTAGCCACTCACTGTCTCCTCGGGCCTCACCGTGCCACAACTCCCTTCCTCCTA